ATGACTCGAAATCACTGGGCTATGAAGTTCATTTTTAAATTCTACAATGTGAAAGTATCTATACAGAGCAGTTTTTTATGTTAACCTACACTTATTTTTTTAATACTACTCTCCATTACTAAATCCATTAGTCAATTATCTTTTCTTATTAAGCAAATTTTAATACAAACACTATTATAAAAATGATTTTTTTTCATCATCGGAGCGGCACTTTACAACTCTAAGAGATTGACAGGTGTCAAAGAAAACAAAAACTCCGCATAGAAACACTTCACGTCTCTTATTATCGAAACCGAAATTTGTGACTGCCAGGTCAGAAAAAGAGGATCACCGTGAAAATTAGTGAAATGCGTGTGGCCTCTAAGAAAGGTACCAAATGGCAATTTTGCACGTGGGCATGAAAATATTAATATATCTAACTGCTTATTAAAAACTGAATTTTAGAAAACATAATATTCTTCTTTGTGAACAACTAGAGACTATATATCTTTTGTATTTAAAATTAAATTTAAGTTTGAACGTTTTTTAGACACACCTAAGGTCTAACTATTTTACGTACTATTTTATTGAGTCCGAAAAAGACTTATTTTAGGGACTCAAATGAGTTCCTAAAACAGGCATTTTCGGGAGCGAATTGTTGCAGCACAACATGACGATAGGTTTCTACAATCTTTTACTTTTTATTAATAACACTGCCCAACATTTTTTTTAATGTGATTGATTTTTATTGATACGTGTATCAGGTGCAGATTTTGAGTTATAAAAAAATAGTTTTTTTTTTGTATACGCTCCCAAAAATAACTATTTTGTGGACTCAATACAATAGTACGCAAAATGGTTATTTTAGGTACTCAGTCCGCAAAAACAGTTTTTGCCGACTCAAAATTAAAAGAGGTGTGAATTCGTGCTTTGGGAGCTTTAACAAAAAACTCTTCTATGCACCACGTACGCAAAAGGTTTTAGGTGACTCCTCTCATTAAAGACTCGGCTCCTACGTCCCCTCGTCATTAATTACGATTCGTCCTCTAAAACCCTATTTTGCGTACTTGATACAGAAATAACTATTTACATTTTATTGTAAAAATTGCTTTTTTAAATAGAAGTTAATTAAATACATAGTGAAAAACAATAAACAAGAACAATGTTGAAAGAAGTACTATTCTAACATACCTAAATCTGTTGTGGATAAAGTTTACGTAAAAGCTGACTTTCTTTTGTAGGGCGTTTTAACTTCTCTTATCAGAAACCAGCAGTAACTAATCCCCCATCATAACTGGATCCCATCTCTCTTTTCCAACGTCTATTGGGAGAAAAAAAATTAAATAAAAATGGAGAAAATTTTACTCGTAAGTGACATCCTGCACTCCATTTTGCAATAATTCCTAATTAATTAATTTCATCGTAATTTTGGCTGCTTGTTGCCTAAAAAGTAGTAAAAAGTGGCTTATTACATTTTTAAAGAAGTCCCAGCCTTTATCTAAATGTCATTCAACTTCTCTTCAAAATGAGGATCCTTATTTCGTTTTTTGGTGATTTGGTCGAACATACTTTTATATTATATCTCTAACAAAATAATTTTAAGTGTAAATTGCCCTAATAGTTTGAAATCTGACGTGTTATGGAATTTTCTTCATCATTTTCGAGTTTAGCACATAGAATTGATTACTGTTTTTTTTTCAGTCACGACATGCTGATTGGTTAGTGTAAGATTAAAAAAAAACAAAATCTGCTTCTATCTTCAAAATATGTACCCATATCTATTTTTTTATCTATAACAGACCGAAAATTTAAAATTTAAAATGATTCAGCTGAGCCAGATAAACTCACTTTTACTCCAAATAACATATATTATTTTATCCGCAAACGATTCAGGTGATAGAGAGAAAAGAGCAACACAATAATTATCAGGTAAATGACCAAAATAATCAGGACGCTTTGAAATGAATGAAATAAATGTCAGTTTCGTATTTTGTATTGAGATTTTTGAAAGTATTGATTGATTTAACTAGTGAATAACTAGTGTAGTTTAGAGTGCAGAAAATGCTGAAGTAGCGAAAAAAACAAGAAAGAGACAACATTGGTAAATGTCATAAAAGTGAAAAACGCTTACGCGAAAAAACACTGCTTTTACGCCATGTCTGGAAAGTAAAACTGATACTTGTGTCATTTAAACATAAAAGCATCATTTTTTGCGGATAAACACATTTTTCTTCACGTTCACGTACCTATTCATACATTAGACAAACCTTTATTATAGATAGGTGATGGATGCTATATTGTTTTTTTAATTAATTATTTTTATTCAAAATAAGTTTAGTTATTTTTTGTAGGAACCGTATAATCGTATCTCAATTAAAATTTTTCTTTGTATAATATATGCGTATACCAAAGTAATAACAGACCTGACTTGAGCACACCATAAATTTGTTTAATAAAATTATTAACTCTAAAAAAACTCTACATAATGCGACCCAACTTTGTTATTCAAAAAAGCTTATTTCGTATGCATCGACGTGTGTATACGAGGACATAATTTTTCCCTAATTGTAGCTCATGATTCATGAATGAATTTTGAAAAAATATTTATCAAGGTGGAAAAGTAGTGTCACGTTACTCACTACCGAGCTCACTACTTTATGCGTTTGTATTTCCTTAGTCGTTGTGCTGTTAATAACGATAATAACAGAAGAACAGATCGTTTCACTCAACCATCCAAGGATAATATGACGAAATTGACAGTCGTTTCATTTATTGTTACGCTCAACAATCAGCTTGTAACAATGTTGTTATTGTCATCTTTTGATTGCCTTATTTTAATCGGGTGCATCATGCATACAGAAACGACATGCAAAGGGCTTTCTCAATTTTTTATCAGTGATTCGACTAATTTTAAATACTAGAGTCACAAAATATTTTCAACACAATTAGCTGTTTACATAACATTAGGCTATTAGGCATATGAAACAAAAAGGCAAAAAGGTAATTTTTTTATCATAGCAAAGGAAATAAAAAATAATATAGGTTATGTGTTTTTTACGTTTAAACAATTTGATAGGTAGGTATTCAGCTAGCAAATTCGTAATATAACATTTAAATTACTGTAGATATATTTTTTTTTAATCTGCATTATTATTTGGTTATGCTCTAAGCCCTATATGGAAGTATGAATATACATACAGGATGTTTTACATAATTTTACGAGGCTTGCGCCTGTAAGATGCAATCAATAATACATATTCCGATACGAACTCGATTACAAATTTTGAAAAATAGGATAATCTTCTCTAGTTTGTTCACCCTTTCAAAAATTACAACATTGTTAGTTAGTTAGTGATTAAGATAGATAAACTAGAATCATATTTATGCAGTCTCTTGATTAGAACAAAAGATAATTGTTTCTGAAAAACTGCAGTTTATGACTATTAATGAAACAGTGACTAGTTTGACAACTGCTGTCATGGGTTTCCAAAAATTAAATAATTACATGTGTATTTCTTGTATCCAGTGTTTTGTGACTTTTGTATATTTGGGTGCGTACATTAGGCGCAAGCCTCGTAAAGTTGTGTGAAACACCCTGTATGTACCTAACGAACATTTTACTTAAAACTTAAATATGTTTTTGTTTATTCAATTATTTTCCTCAAGATAAAATTTACTATGTATCTCGAAGTACCTACTAAATGTAGGTTTTGTATTGTGATTTTAATGATGAAATTTAAAGTTCTACTAAAACAGTTCTAAAGAAGTAAATTCATTAGGTATACCTCCTATTAGGAATATATTATAGGGACACAATAGACGAAATGATGAAAATGAGCTTAACTACTTAGAATTAAAAATGCTTTTCGTGAAAAACTATACCTAAGTTAAGTTCAGAAATATTATTAGACAGATATTCTAAAGAAACTGCAAAATCAATCATTTGAATTAAATTTAAATTTAAATTTATTAAAATAAAAATATGTCAAAATTTATACTATTTGCCTAATAATTTTTGGTACCTACAACTGAAAGAAGCGACTTTATTAATTTTTGTTTTATATTTCTAAAATTAGCTAGGTAAAATAAAAAAATATTTTTTATAACTTCTAATGACTAAGCTTGTTGTACCTAATAAAACATTTAATTGCGCTATTAGCAATAATTTTGCTCTCGATATTAAAGTTTCATATTTTAATTTTCGACAAATACATGTTTCAACTATGAATCTATTAAAAGGAAAGACATATTTAAAAATTAATATTAATAATTTTGCATAAGCAGTATAGATGTTTTCGTTTAAATACTTACTTATTAAATTAGTACACCACTATAACGTCAGTTATATTTATGTTTGTAGGTATATGGACGCTAAATAAAAAATAGTAATCATTTAATTTAGATTAGATTTTAATGTAATATATTTTTTAATTAAGTATGTATTTTTAGTCCCTTTAGGTATTTATTCAAGATTTTGTTTACACATGTTTTTTAGTTGATATTTATTACCTATCTAATTGTTTGCTATAACAAAAAGCAATTAAAATTTTAATAAGGGTTGAACATTTATATCAACATCGAATTTACCCCAAAACTGAAATCGGTTAGTGGCTAACAAGTTTGCCCGTCCTAATGTTCGGTTTGTCAAAAAACCCAATTCACACCATCAAATTATAATGAATTGTCATAGCAAAGCACAATATTTAAAGAGATTGAGCATAATGCGTCCGTAATAAAGCACTCGGTGCTAACAACACCTTAACCTAACCTAAAAATAAAGCGCCTTCAAGTCTAGTAGGGCGTGTTAATCGATCCAGGCCCGCCTTTTAACTGCAACTTTGACTAAAAACAAGTTTAAACCACTCCTTAAAACCGCTCTGCGCCAATGAAAAAGCGTCCAGGCGTGGTTTAAAGCGCGTAACGCTGAATGGTAGCTCGATCTGCCGGTTGAAAGGCGCAACTAAGCACCAAAGCCAACTATTATATGATTATTCTTCATTATAGTCCCTACAGTCGTAGGAAGTAGATGGTTGGTTTAGAGAGAGCAATTTTCGACGTAAAAAAACGACATATGCGCTCAATTTCGTGTAATTTAGTTTCGGGTTAATCTTCGGATAGTTCTTAGTCAATTACGGCGTGAATTACACGTATTATCGCAGTAATTTGCCCCGACTCAGCTTATCACCCGGATCGCGGGCCGTCGGCCGATTTTCCGGATTTTCCGCGAGTGCGTGAGTGACTCGACTTGAAACTGTGCTTCCAAGTGCTCAATGTGTTGAACCTCGAGCCTCTCCAAAGTGGATAACAAACCCTTCACGACGCTGAATTTCACGGATCTGGGGTCCCCGTTCGGGGGGCCTAACGAGGACCCTCCCGGGACACCCAACACGATGTCGGGGGAGGCGCACATAGGGCCACCGACGCCGCACGAGTCCAACAACTCGACGCCGGTGTCCAAGAGCGCCTTCATCGAGCTGCAACAACACGGCTACGGGCCCTTGAGGACGTCCTACCAGCACCACTTTAACTCACCGGCGGGAAACGCGCACACGGGACCGACGGGCACCCACGACGGGGGCTTCCCGAGTCCCAGGGGGGCCCTCGGGGCCTATCCCTTTCCGCCCATGCACCAGAATTCATACACGGGATACCATTTAGGATCATACGCGTCCAATTGTCCGCCTTCGCCCAAAGATGATGGTAAGTGACGACGACTGACGACCAATTGAGATTAATTCGATATGGGATGTTCGGATGGTTCAAACATGAGTGTGCTTCTTCGTCGGGTCTCTTGTAGTTTTTTTGCGGATCGGTCGCAGCGGACAAACTTGAGCTTTTGGTTTTTATGAATTACAGAATTATGAACCTTTAAAAAACAGTGTAATGAATAAAAAAAAGTTAAATAAACTAACAAATAATAAAAATGTGAAAAAATAATTTTGGTCTGCGATCAAAAAGTTTAAGAACAAGGAACAAAACGTCTACTAGATTTTATCAACATTTTGTAAAGTGCTAAATTATAACAAAAATGTTACTAAAACATACATGACAGACTATTTCCACAAACTTTTTTTTACAATTTGTCACAATTTCTTGTTTCTTGAGAATAAGGTTAAAGCTAATAATCTTAATTGCCGTAAAATGAGGCAAAAAAAGAATTCTAAGAATAATCTAGATCTAGAAATTTATGATCCAATGTGGTATGTTTAAATACATTTATGCGGCAAATAATATTTAATCTTTATTAATCACGGAATAATTATTAATTTATATTTTCTGCGGAAATATCTAAGTTATTCAGAATTTTCTGTTGAAAAATTTTATCTAATGAAATGGATGTTTCATATAGTTAGTGCGAAAAAAATGTCAAGTATTTGACTTTTCTGTTCATATTAAACAATTTTACTTATCATCTTGTGTGTTTAAAAAAATATGGTAGATTCCAAATTAAAATCCTAACAATTTTGTTCGCAAAAATGGGATTAGGTTTTTTTAATAAATAATAAATAAAACAAAACCTATGAAGTAGTTTGAGTAATTTTTTTAGTTATATTTAAATAAATGATCCACGTTATAGTAAAAACCAGTTTATAAATTATACTACTCATACAATATTTATTTTTGCATTTTTCCAAATCTTTTTTTGCAAATTGTAAAAGATGGTCAATAAACAAACCATCAATTGCGAAGAGTTTCTTGACAAACATCAAAATTATTTTTATATAGGTATTATAATTTCTTACTTGAATACTCCTAGCATTTAAGAAAATGTGAGCTTTTTAAGAAAGAAAATGTTATTTATTGTCAAAATCCAGTTAGACAGTTACAAAGTATAAAGGTAACTTAGTTATTAAGAGAACTGTACTTGCTTATCACTATACAATTGTGAATTTTTGCAAAAAAGTTGAACTACCAAGAATATGTGCTTGCCTTTGAAGGGAAAGATCCAGTATTAAAAAAAAACAGATTTTAATAAACATTTATTTAAAAAAAATGAAATAATTGTGAATAAACTGCATTTAAATTTTTTTATTTATTGCTTTTGTAACGTTTAGGTATGTTAAGGATACATCTCATAAAGTGAATTTTTTTCAACACTATTTCACATCTTGCAGGGATTTTTATTTCAAAAAGTGATTGTAAAATCTGTTTTATTCTATAATTCATTTAATAATAGTACAACTTATTTGAAAGAAATTTATTATTAATGTTATAATCTAAAAGTTTACCTCAAATAACTATATATTAGCAAGTTAGAATATAAGCAAATTAACCATTAAAAATTATAACTACTGATGGATTATTCGAAAAATTTATGGGAAATAATCCTAAACTAAGTATCAATATTCTAAGACAGAGCAGAATAATACTAGCATGATAATTGTTTTTTGTGCACCCTACGTTTTCAAATATATTATAATACGAGTTGCAGAAGGCATCTATATTCATTCAAGAGCTTGAAATTCCAATACAAGCGTCGCAGCGGCGAGTTGAGGAACAAACAATCGCTTTAATTGTTTTCTGTAATGAGTATTTTATATTATTTTTTATTTTGATCTGTTATTGCCGCTTTTTTACCAAAAATTGTAATTTTGCATCAGTTGATGACACGTAGCAATATTTTCATGAAAAATTCAACTAGAACTGACATTTGCCATTGTGGGTAATCTGGAAATGAATTTTCAAGATTTTTTATGTTTACCTGAAAATTCTCGAAAATGGTATAGGTTTATTAAAAGCATTTTACTTCCAACGGCATTGTCAACAACGTTAAAACATAAAATACACTAGTAACACACTGTTAGAAGCTGTTAACGCACCCAAACGCGTTCGTTAACAGCGTTGTTTAAATCGCAAAATAGAAAAAAATCATTTTTTAAACACGTTATTTCGAATTGTCTAAAGTAGACGATGTTATAAAACCTTGTGTTTGTCGTTAAACTTGTTCAAACTTAATTAAATTTAGAAAATAGGAGTTCTAAATAAATAGTAACTGGTCAATAAACATTGTCTTATCATTGTTGTTAATTTTATAGCACTAGTATATCTTTTAGTGTCGGTTGTTTAGAAACAGTATTGTCAAATCAACAAGTGGTAATTCAGGCGATAATAATTTGTGTACCTACGGTACTCATCTAGATAATAATTAGATCAGAGGTGAAACGGCAAATATTAAAGTTATAAAATCGTCCTCAAGACTTCATTTACCGGAATTGATATAGATTTACGGCAGGTCTGGCGTAAAGCGATTAACCAATTAAATAATTACAAATTGATGAATTAATTGGTTGTCTTTTAATTGGAACTATTTGTGTCAAATTTCACATGTTCGGATCGGTGGCATTTCGCGTCTTGTCGCAAATAGAATCATTTCTGGCATAAACAGCATTTAAATCTTGGACAAATTAACTCGTTTTGCCATAGATGTTGACGGTATGTTAAGGAATACAAATTGAGTTGTGCAATAATTAGCCATTTTATATACCGGAGGAATGAAACATTCGATCGCTGGCAAAGGAGCCGCTCGTATTTTAAATAATTAGTCGGAAAGGAAAAATGGCATAGTATTGCGGTTGTGTCTCTGGAAACTATTGATTTACAGCCACAACATTCCCACGAGAGTTATGGATTTTTAACTTTATGGAAGAAACGACTCAAACAACTCGTTTACTACGAAATTTTAGCTGTCTTGAGCATTGAGTGGTCCTAGTCTTGCGAAATAGATCGAGTTTAATTAATTTTTCTAGGAATCGTGTCACATAAACTTTTCCTCCTAATTACCTGCTACCAATTAAAGCAAAAATATTTTCTTGCAAGAAAATTTAATGATATTAGCCAATTTGAATCGCTACTTCATGTCAAATAATAATCTTTGACCGGGATTGACGCGTAATTAATAACATTTTTTCTAATGATCGAATAATTGCAGTAATAATTGCAAAAACAACTTTGGTTCTAGTTCTAGTGTCATTAATAACGGTGAGCTAAAAAAGTCCTTCGATGTGTATATGTAAAGGTTCTTTTTTTACAACAACTCCAATCAGTTTACTATTAAAAATGCTTAGTTTATTGTTACTTTCTAATTCAACACCAATTTTGAAGATAATTTGTTAAATTACAGAACGGAACCGTTGCAACTAAAGAATTAAAAATTGACCATAAAAAGAAGAAGAAAATCACTTGTAGACAGCTTGCGAAATGTGTATTTGAGGGCCGTTGTTTGCGGAATGGGTTATTATCTCGATATGGGCGAGTATACTCATTTGCTTCAATTTCCAAATTAAAAACGGACCGCTTCATGTTTTATTTAAACATTTTGCCTTATTCCTCGCATTACAAAAACATCAAACTGGCATCAGGGTTAGCATCTTGTCTTTTTCGAAGTTCTTCAAATAATGCAACTTTGCACGGACAATAAAATACAGTTTTTTTGATTTTAGTACTAAGATGTTTTATCATTTGGTTTTGTTAGTTAATTAAAAAAAAATTAAATAGTAATTCAAAATCCTACGGTGGTGTTTAGGTAGAGTAGGTATTAAAATACTCATTTTATGAAAGCTTATATAACCAAAAATTTAATGCAGTTTTATTAAAAACACGCAAATAACACGTTTAGTTTTATTTTTGGTCAGTTTTTTCTTATCAACAAACGAAAAACTATCAATATGTATTTTATGCATCAAGTTTAAGTTACAAGAAACACTTAACACTAATTATTCCTGTAACCACGTTTTTACATTTCAAGCATAACATTTAGCATTGACGTAAAATTGTAAAAATTTTGTTGTTATTTTAAATAGGTAGAATTTGTTTTGTGTTGTCATTTAAATATCAAGATTTTGTAAAAACCATCAATTTTTTGAACAAGAATAATTATGCTACAATACCGTTGAAAGATGCATAGATAGACATCGGGAGTTAAATATTGTAGTTTTATTTTTGCCAGGTTTTGTTTAAGATCCTATAGAATAGTTTTCCTAGTAAAAAATGAGCTAAAATATACCTTTTTATCTGGATGGTTAGATACGTCATATTTTGAAAATTAATAATTAGGAACATTTTACACGTTTTCTTTAAACAACTTAATCTAGATATAACAAAGTTACCACACAATTAAACCTTCAAAACTAAACAGTTAATGGTTGAAATGTTTGTTATTTCAAATTATGTTTTATTTAATAGTACCTGCAGTTATTTAAATAATAACGAAAGATAATTTATAAAATTTTAGTGTTACCTACAAGTGTTATCTATCCAATTGATTGCTCTGTAGAAGTATTATTCTTGTTCTTGTTTAGTTGATGGGCTTATGGACTTGGAAAATTAAACTAGACTTAAAATCCGAATGGATCTATTTTAATTCTACTTTGTTTAAATAACAAAAAGTCTTTACCGGCATTTGAAAAATGATGCAAAATAAAGTAAAGATGTATAAATTTAAAATTCGAAAAAAATATACATGTACATACGTATATATGATATTTTTTTCTCTTTTTGCTATTTTTGTTTCATGTTACCAAACTTTAAAGATTGTAATCTGCGCCTCCACTAAATCATTTTTGGCGACAGTAAATCACATGTAACAAATAAACTGCTACAAGTCAGCAATAAAATAAATCAAAATGTTATCTCTCCGTTTGTTACAAATTTCGGCTCAAGCCACAAATGTGTGCATCAACGCATGTGTTGTCTGACAGATTAAATACGGTGTAAAATTTTATGTGAAAATTAATCAACGTTTCCGTAAATAATAAATATGCGTCAAAGGCCACTTTTGCTTAATATCACCTTGTTCATTCATATCGCTGTTATGCTCACTAATTTTACCAACATTATATGCAGTTTGCTTTCTAGAGGAATATTCTCAAATAAATTTCCACTAATGTAAAAAGGATGGATCGATTTTCTGTTGTGATTTTTTCATCATTTTTGAGGACATTTGATTATATTAATCGCCACTTTTTTAATCTACTTTTAAGTGACATTGAAAGCCCTCGAAGTGGACAAATCGAGCGCTTCCAGCACGTCCGTTCTGATAAAATATTCAAATATTCCCACACGTTCTGAAATTAGTCCATATGTAAAAATTCAATTTATGGAACGTATGTACATCAATCAAATGACCGATAAGCCGCCGAAAATGAATTGTATTATAACTCGGAATATTCGATGAGTTTATAGAATGATACTACAAGTCGATAAGATCTTTCAATGCTGCTGAAATATAATAGAGTGCTGCCATTAACAAGGTGTTTATTGATGGATATCTTGTGACAATTGTCTGTATACAGCGTTATAGCTAATTTACATCATTAACTGCGTCCAATCACTGGCGCACCTATACGGAATTATTCATACTGTTTTACTGTGGTCTAGCCCTTTTTTAATCCCAGCGAAATTAAGCTAAAGGGATTAACAAAGCTCATATTTTACACATACGCACAATTGTTTAGGTACTTGAAATTTTTGATGGGAAATGCATTTGGAAAACCTTTAGGTCGCTTCTAACAAAATGTGTTGTTCTAGTGTGAGTAATAATCTTGTAGAGAAAACAGAAAAATAAACTGATTTCTGGTACGATTAAAACTCAGTTAAAAATTATTATGATTGTTGTTACTAGGGTTTAACTAAGATTTAAATTTATCTCTCCATTAAATATGTTTCTAGAAATCGGACTTAATAAATACCTACAGTATGTCCCCGAATTGAGTTTACAAGAGGAAAAAAAAATTATCATTGATTTTACGCCAAAACTTCAAAGGAAAAAAAGTTTTTGCTTTACTTGAAACCAGCATATCTGTAATTAAAACTTCATTATTCTAACTCAGTAGAAAGAAAAGTTCATTTTTCTTTTGATTTTGGAATAATTTTTCTTTGCTTTTTAAGTCTTATCACATTGGCGATTTTAATTATTTGACAACTATATGTCACTTTGACAATTAATTTATTAATTAAATAATGATAGTTCTTGTTAAAAATGACTTTGGTTTTTACCTTAAAGCTGTTTCTTTGAGTTGCTGTTTATTAAAATTATGTTTTTCACAAACATTTTTGTTATTTAACATGTGTTAAGTCATTTTGTCAAAGTGACATCATTGTCAAAATAATAAAATCGCCAATGTGATAGGACTTACAAATCAAGAGAAAAATGAACTTTTCTTTCTACTGAGTTAGAATAATAAAGTTTTAATTATGGATTTTCTGGTTTCAAGTAAAGCAAAAACTTTTTTTCCTTTGCAGTTTTGGAGTAAAATCAAAGATAAAATTATTTCCTCTTGCAAACTCAATACGGGTTTTATTTATTCTTAATAGAAATTTGTTGTAAAAATAAAAACATTTAAAAGATGGTTGAAAACTACTACACAAAAAATAATATTTCACATTTTTGGAGGAAAATAGCAGACTTATCACATTCTTTAAATATGGTTCACACAAATACGCAATACGCAGTAGGTTCGTAGTGCAATTCTGACATTTTATACTATTTTATAGTGGGTTGATTTAAAAGTTCAAATGTAATTAATCCAAAGTGCAAATCTATCATTTTATAGCGGATAGACTCAAAGTATAAAAATGTATACAACTCAAAGTGGAAATTTGACATTTTATAAATGTATTTTAGTTCAAAGTTAGAAGACTTTCTCACAAGTGCTGTTATACATTTCCCAATAATAACAAGAAAAGGTTATTTTTTGCTTAGAGGTATGTTTTAAATATTTGATTTTTTAAATCATCAATCAGTTTTGAATGAACTTAGATTTTTCCTTTGTAGTAATACAGTAAAAGAAGCATACGAATGGTAATGTATCTCTGATGATGCCAAGTTGGTTAGCCAAACACGAGTTAACATTTATTTAAACAAAACATAAGGTGTCTTGACTTTTGTTCTTATTTTCTTCTGTAATGAATTAATAACGGATATCTTTAATAGCAATAAACTCTAATTTTTACTAGTGACTCTTGATTTTATATTATGAATATTTACAATTCTACACGTTTGTCAAAATATAGAAATACAAATCTCTATTTTTTATTTTTAAATTAAGACAGGTATAAAAATGAATCTTATCAGATTCTTATAAAATATTTACTTTCGAAAAGGGCAATATAATTGAAAATTATTATTATATCTAATTCTTGCTAACAAAAGACGAGAAAAGTATAATTTCTCAGAAGATATTGTGCATACAAGACAGAGTAATCAAACGTTGTTTTGTGGTGATTTCGATATTTAAAAAAAAAACAAATTTATACAAAGAAGTGAAAAATAATTAAAAGATTGATCACAAGCTTTTGTATTTACACAACAAATCTTTTACTTATCTTTTAGTTACTCTCTAGATATTTATATAAATATTAGTTTATATATTTTTGGTATTTTTACTTTTAAGTAAAAAAGCAAATGGACACTGACTACAGGAGTACCTACCTACAAAAACTTTTAAAAGTTTAATTTCACTTTTCCATGAGGTAAGTCCGGGAAAGTTCGACCACTGAGAAATGAATGTTCCAACCCGAGAGCCATGCTCATCAAACAAATGTTTAAGTGTGATTTATTAGTAGCACTCTCTACATAAAAAGGCTGATTCAAAGCCTTATTTACTATTGAATTAAAATTTAATATTTTGTGCAAGTGTGAAAATTTTTCATTATTTTTCATAGTGTTGGTAATCGTGAAAGTATAGATATGTAAGTTTTTTCAGTTATTGTATTACGCTGTTAATAAATACATATTAAAGCACATATTAATAATATATTAATATTAATTAATTAAAATTTATTATGAGGAATAGTAGAAAAATTCTCATAAAATTCACATACATTGAAAAAAAACATAGTTTTTAATGGCAAACGCAGACTTTTGTGTGACTAGTAAAGTATGTTTTTTCTTTAAATGGAAATTACCAAGTCAAAATTTTGGTGAAATAATTGGTAGCAGCTTGTCTCCACAAATTTTGTTTGCTCTTTGTTTTTGTCCCTAGATATTTTGTTAAAAAATTATGGTTATGTTTTCAATTTGACATGTTGTCAAAATTTTGACTTTAATGAATGTGTGTCTGTTTGACACACCGCAAGTAAGTACAATGTTGTGACAAAAATGAGGATCTTGCTACAAAAACTTTGAAGAAAAAGGATGTATAAACAGAAAAAAGTTATTTAGCAAAAGATGCAAATAGGTATTATGATGATTGGCAATAAATGTGTGTAATTAATTGAAATGAGCTCAAAGTTGATGCATTTTATAAATTCTTCTTTAGCTGTAGTTTCAAAATTGTTACTTTTTTAACTCGTTCCTCAAAAACGATGCACAAGAGATTTGTGATTCTTTCTCATTTATGCTTATTTTGTATTCTTGTCAATTTCTTGCTAAAAATTGAAATTGTTTAGCAAACCTGTTTACATTTTAACGGGCCCTTTTTGTAACTTTCTGCTTGCGAACTATTCGTTTCCAAATTTCTAAAAACTGTTAGCGGTACCGAATTTGTTCCTTTTTTGGTGTCTCGTCTCTAAATTTTCTTAGACGATTTTTTGTGTTGACGTTTAATGACATTGTTTTCAAATTAATTCAAAAAACCGGAACTGCCAACTTCCTTTATTAAAATTACCATGAATGAATTTACTAGTGATGCCAACGTTAAGACTGTTTGGCATTTCCATTAAAAAAAACAGACTTTAGTGTTTGATATAAAGTAATATACTTTTAACAAACTCACTTTTAATTTTTTCTGATGTTTGTTTGATTGTGAACGAATCATCGTATTGAAAGTTATTAATCTGTCATTTGACACCTCGTTGGGCGTATTAAAAATTGTGGTCTGTTCACAACACACTCGTCGCCAACTATATAAGTTATAAACATCCGTTATAACAAAATATATTTTAAAACAGCCAGAAAGTGTATATTATTTTTTAACATTTAACAACTTGTGGCTGTTTTCGCAGACTCGCTTCGCTCGTTACACTAAATTGGACGTAATCTATCTAGTTGCATAAATGTTGTTATTGTTTACATCTGACTCCTGATTTAAATCGGTGAAACGTGTCATATTACCAAAGCCTTATTTCTTCTACTTGACATCTTTATCAAGTGCCAAAAAACTAGTTTTAGTCCGACCTAGATCCAAACTTGTCGTTCAAAAGGACAAGAGGCGTCGCCAATAAATAAATAATAATAATTAAAATTCTTTTATTTGCAATTCCTAACACCGACAAACACTTCTGAAATCCACCTTATCAATAAATCAATGCCAACAATTTACATTAATCATTCATACTACATTGATTTATCCTAATAAATTTTTAACCCGGCTTTCAAAAATACTCCGAAACTTGAGAATTTAAAAGCTTCGCCACTGCCAGCTACCACACTAAAATTTATTTAAATATTTTCCAAGAGTTCATTAAGTCCACGATCTTAATCACAGCGGATGGGCGTAACGTTGTTCGGAAACTTTTTCTTCTCGCTGTTCAAACAAATAATTTTGTTGCAGAAAAGTGTTTATCGTTGGAGAGGCCGTCGGGCGGCGGCAAGGGCAAGAAGATGAGGAAACCGAGAACAATCTATTCAAGTCTTCAGCTTCAGCAGTTGAACCGGCGGTTTCAAAGAACGCAGTACCTGGCCTTGCCCGAAAGGGCCGAATTAGCAGCCAGTTTAGGTTTAACGCAAACCCAGGTCAGTGTCTGATTTACTAGATTAGGCCGGGCGGCACAGCTCCAAATTAAATTTTTCGAATATTACGATTACGTCTGGTAAAGCGGGCATTATTTAGCACCGCGTTTTAATTTATTTACTTTTAATGAAGAACAAAGCGGTGAGGTAACGAGAGGTTAACATCGCTGTGAAGTTTTAATAACGGATAAAATATTTATAGTTCGGCAGTCGACTACATCGACATAATTTACTTGTAAGCAATTTGTTTGTGGTTATTAAGAATCAGAAAAGCGCAGTCTTCGGCTGCTGTCACCGTCTTAATAATTCCCTTTGACTTTCGCCGATTTTACCTGAAATTCGTCGGTAATTAGAATGACAGTAAAGATAAGGAAAGCTGAATCGACTCTTATCGAATAATAATTAGTAGTTTTACGACAGATAATGACTTTTACAACTACCGGTCGCGTTGGGCACCTGAATATATGACGAAAAGTTTCGATAAAATTAATATTGTGATAAAAATACTTTGGCGAGGTGGGTCCGATAGCGCGACGAGGAAGTTATGTCGCTTTTTTGACAAATTGCTTGTTTGCTAGTTCGCACTTATGCTAATTAATTTCGCCGAATTCTTGGCGAATAATGAACAATAAATTAATTTTATGAGTTTTTATTTTGCGTTATTGAAAAATTTACATGGTAGTGTTTTGCATGAATTATTTTTATTGCTCGAAATCAAGGTTTAAAGTTGAGCCAGGGATTATTCATTTATGACGCATACTGGCATTCGTGGCGCCGTTGTTTTGCAAAAATATGTGTTATAACAACAATATACGCCAAACAATTTAATCATTTGCAAAATTCAATCGATGTCAAATTACTAGACATTTTCATTATTATAAATTTTGTTAATAATCCACATAGACTCAAAGTCGCAATTTTAATATTATTCAATAAGTAATTCTTAGAGGACAATAATAAACACATTTTTGTGATGGTACCTTCTTTGTTATTTTCTGATGTTTTTACTTTTAGTTAGTTATTTGTCTACTTGTTTAACATAAAACGCTTGCTTTACATGCTATTATTTTGCAAAAATTTTTACATTAAATTCAAAAGTTTTAATCAAAAAAAGTTACTCGAAATACTAAAGTTGATTTTATGTATGAGCAAGAAAACATATTCTAGTGTTAAATATTCTAAAGAAGTGATAATTGGCATATGCACTGGGAGCATAACCATAGCTCTATTTGAATTTTCATACATAAAATTTACCTACCCATTTAATGTTAATTAGTTAATTATATAATTAGTTTGTTGCTGATTTAAGAAATAGAGCTTGTTCCAAATCTGGTGGCGAACTGACGTTGTCAAAAATGACTGAATTTTGACATTAAACACATGTTTACTATTAAAAAAAATATTGTTCATAGGCGTCGTATGAAAGAATACTTCAAAACCACTGTTATTCTTTAAAAAATTATAATAAGTAGGTACTCATACATAAGATGAAGAATGATGAACAAATTATATTGTTAACGCATGAAAAGAATTTTCAAAAATGATATTCCTAACAATCCTTGTCTTCAAAATTTTTAGAGAAAAAAAGTACGCCCATGTATTTTTTTATCTTAACCAAGTGGGCGCACTCCAAGTGTCTTTTCTGTCACTGTCAGTTCGCCACCACATATGGAATAATCTCTATTAAAATAAGAAACAATTTTGAAGGTGTAATAGGTATAGTACTTTCTTGGCACATAACTATAAATAAAGAAAATAGATAGAGAAAAACTTTAAACAAATGTCATTAATAATAACTTGCAGTTATTTGTTAACTAACAAAATTTAACTTGAGGAATTTTTTTTCGTAGGTAAAATTTCAAACTTAGGTAAAATTGTTAACACTGTTAACTGGATATGTAAAGTGGTGTCATGTGTCAATTTAAAAAGTCTCATATTTCTCCTTATTATTCAAGAATCTGTTAGGATTTCTTTTAAAATAGAGCATTTTTTAGTTTTTAAATTATTATTTGTATTATTATTATTTTAATGTAAAAAAAAGGCTGTCTCTTATTAACCGCTCTGTTGAAATAGTATTACCTAGTACTGGTTAGTAAATTTTGCTACTTTTAACATTATTTTTTGTATATCTTTTATGCCCAACAGATTAACGAAATTATAAACATCATATGGTATAAAAAGAACGCTGAACACATAATTGCATACATACAAATTACTAAAGTTTAATACAAGAAAATTCGTATAAAGGTAGTTTCAGTAATGAATGTTTTGTAACTTTCTTTTTACCCTTCTTATTAATTTTTACTATAATTTACTCTAAAACTTTTTGGGTAGCACTCAACCCACTTTTTAAACATTTAACTAATACAAACTAAAGTTGGAAAAAACAAAATTTAATTATTTATTTTGTTGATGTAATGACACTTGAAATATTTCTGCTTTTTTGCAAATCCCTGACCTAAAATTTTATGAATGACTGCGATTAGCGTAAAGTGCATTTTGTGTAACTTTGTTGGAAATGAAGTCAGTTAATTTCTAGTGCTTCTAATGCTTTCATTTCTTAATTAGGTGAGATGAAAAATAGCTTTAATAATTTTAGTGTTATCTTGATGGAAACTGCACTTTATTCGTTTCCCCCAATAGTACTTAAGTTTCCATCAGATGCAAGAACAACAAAGCTCTTCTGCAAGAATAATGACATTAATATCCCTTGTAATAACAGGTTGATTAAAGGAAGATAGCGGCACTTTGAATTTTTCTTTTAATATTATAAAATATGGATCTAATTACGATTTGCTAACATAAACAGTAAATAAATAAAAAAATGTTAATTGCCCCGCTATAAAATCCAAGAGTACCGAGCCATTATGTAAGAAGGATCATTAAACTAAAAACCCGGATGCTATTTAACATTTAAAGTGAATTTTCTCGATGCGGGGCAAGATGTCTGATTACTGAAATATTTCTTTTTCTTCGTTCCGCCAATTCGCAAATACTACAGAAAATGTCCCGCAGCTGAGAAAGTTTGAAAAAGAAAGAAAATAGATTTGTGTCAAAATTGTCGGTTCTCAGTCGGCTCGCTAGAATGAATTCCATAACAAAAGCGCATAAAAAAAGGAAATTGAAATCAAATGAAGACTTGAGATTCCATTCATCTACTTATTCTTTTATTAACTCAGCTACTGTTCTTACCATCATTAATTCACCTGGCAGCATACTGTAAAATGCAGTAGACCAAGCGCGTTTCGGATTATCATCGTTAAATAAAATAACAATTAATGATTGTCAAGATTTGCCTGGGCAACGGACCGAGCGCAATTTCGAATTTCATGCCTACAATTATTAATTCGATACATATTATTATTATGGCCTTTCTTTTATTATTGTTAAGGAGGCTCGGACAAAGGAACGAAAAAATTACTTCCCACAGGGCAACGCGATCGATCCCATTGTCAATTGGTACCACTTCCACGTGGTACGCGTAATTAATAGTACCATCTATAAGTCGGAGGAAATGCAAGCAAACATTCATCACGGACTTAACTTGCCAACAATTTTTACGCAGAATTACCTACGCATTAGATTAATTGCCCGTCAGGACGGGTAACTACCAGCATGGAATGTCATATTTTCATATTACTATTCAATGATCTCGTTTTTGTGTACATAAGGCTATACTTTTTAATTAACTCATTCGATCATGTAGATAGACTTTGCAGAGATAAAGATCTAAAATAAGAAGCAAAGGGAATTCAGCAGGACGATTGGTGTGGAACTAGTCACGTGACTGTTTTTTTTTTAATTTCTTGGTTGATACACCTGCAAGCTGCAAGGGGCAGCAAGCTTGCAACAGCCGGTCTTGTAATTTGTTATAATATATGACACAGTGCAGATATTTATGACAGACTGGAACAAAATGTTACTATTGGCGTCGAAATTACAAGAATTCTGGTGCAAGGCGCTGCTGCGTGGCCTGCTATTTTTTTATTATTGTGTTTCGAAGACTAAATTTCCAAGAATTGTTGGTAAAAGGGCTGTACAGATTTTTTCTAAATTTCAAATTATAAATAATTGAAATTGTTTTAACTGATTACTTGAAACATTACAATTAGCTGCAAAATTTTATTTTTAATTTTCTGGGGCATTATTAGTTTTTTAATAGAAATAAGGTGATGAAAAGGAATAATAAAATAAAGAGCTGACGACTTTTGACGATTTCTGGCTGCTATATATCGAGCAATCAAGATAATTTGTAATCGACTCATCTTTGAATCCGAAAACGTATGTCTGTAAAATGTCAAGTAAAATGACAAGTCGAATGGTAAAATGGGATGATCAAAAAGGTGATGATTATAATAACTAAATTTATAATTCACCTTCAAAAAAGAGCGGTCCTATTCGTATTATAATATGTCGGCGACTAATTCCAGCCCATTTTGCTGATTTACCTTACGACTTGTCATTTTATTTGACGTTTCTCTTGAAGATAGTTCAAAAACAGACATACGTTCTCGGATGCAACGATGACTCGATTACAAATTATCTTGATCGCTCGATATATACCAAAACATGTAATTTAGTAGTTCGGCGAATCTCAATTTTTTTGCTGATTCGGCGATTCCCTCGACACTTGAAACCGGAGACCGAAATTCGCCGAATTACTCGTAAATTATTGTTGCATCCAGAACTCGTCAAAGGTCAGCAGTTCATTTTAGTTTTCTTTGCCATCACATTATTTCAATTAAAAAACTAATAATGCCTCGGAAAAATAAAAAGGAAATTTTGAAGTTAAATGCATAATTTAATAATTCGATTGATCAGTTAAACATTTTTTAAATATTTATTGCAAACATGGAACAAATACCAAGATCACCACCGAATAATACCTTTGAATTGCAATTTAGAGAAAAAATCTTTGTAATTTTTATCCTGAGAGAGAGAAAAAATGACAACAAATCAAAATAATTTTTTGATCTTATATAAAAACCCGTATTGCTGCCATT